TCTCCATCGATCCTGTGTGGCATCATACCACAAAGGCCTGCTCTAAAGAATGTGGTTAGTAATGTTCCAACATCTCTTCTGTCTAACAAATCTTATTCTCATAGCAATCTGACTACAGATTGGGAAAAGCTCCTATTTCTTAATTCCTCCCTTTGCCTAGCCTACAGGACACTTTAGCGCCATTCTTCATCTTTCCCATAGCCATCACAGTGACAACCCTGTCAAAAGAATGTCAGGAAGCCATGAAGTATTAGACACTTCACTTGCCTGGGCTCCTCTGGGGTGTGGGAGGGGTCCTAGTAATGTGTTCACATGGTCATAAAATTCCTTTAAAATTGCTCTTTTCATACCAACTTCTTTGCCACACTTCCTCTTATGTTAGGTGGCACAGATATTTTTGTGAGTTAGATACAGAAAAGCTGGTACATTTAATTTGTCAGGATACATTTAGCTTGTCAGGATACATTTATTTATGTGATTCTATCACTACATTAAAGTCATTTGGGGGAAGTGTACATAGTTTCATCACTGCTAGTCACTACAGTGCAGAAGTAGTGCTACTCCCCAGCAAGATGTACTTAACACTGATTTTTAACAGGAGGCACAGGAGAAGAGTCACAGGGCACTTTCAAGTGTCCCATGGCAACCAGTACTGGCAGCATGGTTACCATGCTAGAGTAACAGCCCATCTGGAAAACACTGCCACTCATCAAGTATGTAAAACTATCAGCACAGGACTCAATTCTCTTTAGAGCAGAATCAAAAGAAATTGAACAGAGCTGGGCACTGGAGGCTCAAGCCTGTAATCCTACCTACTAAGGAGGCTGAGATTTGAAGATCATAGTTCAAAGCCAGCCTGGACAAGAAAGTCGGTGAGATTCTTATCTCCATTAAACCAGTCAGAAAACTGGAAGTGGCACTGTGGCTCAAGTGGTAGAGCACTAGTCTTGAGCTGAAGAGCTGAGGGACAGCTCCCAGGCCCAGAGTTCAAGCCCCACAACCAAAAAAAAAAAAAAAAAAAAAGAAATTGAACAGAAATTCTTTTTTATCACAAACATACCTAGTAATGTAGTGTATGAAGTTATAAAGGCTCCATTTTCCTTTTCCTTTTTGAAAATCATACAACATAAACTATCAGAATTTATGTTTGTAACTCTCAAATTCTAGATCATATCAAATGCTATAAATAAGTAATCAACTGAATTTAAATTTCTGGTAATACAATTAATAAATAAGACAAAATCCATGAACATCAGTAAAGCACTTAGATGACTTGCTAATTGAGCACAACGTACTAAAGAAAACCATCATTCCATGTCATTACAGGTCACTGGCAATATTCAAGTTGACTCAAAGGACATTTGATATTAGTGGATGAGCAAACTTGAAAAGGTCTCAAATTTTATAGCTCAAATATGGAGACTTCTTGATAGAAGCCTTGCCACTGGATAATAATTCTAAACATTGACATGATGAGTTATCAACTCTTTTCAAAATTCTCAATAATAAGAAATTAAGTTTGAGTAGCCATAATATTCTCTCCATAGAAATGTTATCTCAAATTATTTTCATATGAGAACATCAAAGAGCTTGTATCAAAAAACTGTGGAAGAAAACACTATAGAGGAGTGCCTGGAATTAGTATGATTCACATGGACTCCATCATGCTGTAATATTCATCAGCTCCTGAAAATTTGCAAATTTTTTTTCAATTTCACATTTTTTCCTTTTGTGTCTGCTTTTGTGCTTCCCTTGAAGAGGGTTCAAAGAATCAAATAAGCTTGAAACTCTCAAAACTTGAGATCTGTCCTTGATAATTCATTGTCCTCAATCCCTTGCTTTTGGGTCATAGCCCCTAAACACTGCACTAACCCTATCTAATAAACCTGTAAGTAAAAGTGATAGATGTAGCTCAGTGGTGGGCTGTGCAAAGCCCCAAGTTCAATCTCCTGAATTAGAAAAAAATAAATAAAAACAAAGGAGGAAACAAAACAGGTAGTAATATAATAATGAATCACAAAGTCATGTTTTGTTTGTTTCATCTTTTGTTTTTTATATTTTTTTTCTAATTCTAACCAAGGTATTTTTAGTAGGATCAAAGTAACTTTGTCAAATATTCGCATAAAGCAGAGCCCAAAGCCAAGGCATCAATGTTTTCAAACCTGTCACATTATTCCCTAGAACTCTCAGGACCAAATGCAGTCATGATCTGCCCAATTACTGTTTGTGAATAGCTTAGGGGTATTTGTAGACTGTTGTCATTCTGACAGAAAAATCACAAAAAAGAGTGAGGAATAGAATTCAAACAAACAAAATTAAATGGCACATGATTTATTCTTATTAATTTTAGAAAGCAAAAGTAGGTAGGATCCTTTTTTAGGGATACTGTGTGTTTTCTGTGATTTATTTCAAATTGGGAGGATTACATCCATTTTCTTTTCATTTATAAAGTACTTTGATGTAAGTTACCTCTGGCTCCTTAAGTTACTTATAAGACACAAGAGGAGAGGAAAGTGATATTCCCATTTTACCAATGAAGAAAATAAGGCTGAAAGAGGCTGTCTGATTTGCCTCAGGTCCACTGATGGTCCTAACAACCGACCTTTGCCTTTTAGATTGCCACTGAGTAGCTTTCTTTCTCTGAAGGGCCTTTCTGAGCTTCACTTTCCTGTCTAGTCTAAAATTCATATGAAAAACTGTAGAGGTTCATAATTTGGACTGGACAACAAAAAACCTGACATCCATTCCCCCTTCCTTCTATCAATAGCATGGTGGTCGGGTGAGAAGTAGGAGAAAGGAACCAGTTCTTGAAGAGAATGAAGGAAACCTCCTCAGGGGCATGAACAACCATCTATATCCCTCTGGATGACCTCGGGAACTTTGATAGCTCTTCAAACACATTCTCCTATCAGGGAACAAGGATACGGAGGGAAATAAAAGGACAAGCGAAGACTGAGGACTAAAGACTAAGGATTAAATAAGGACACACAAGATCTATGAAAAGTAAAATCACCATGCAAATGAGTTTTTACCTTGGTAGTCAACACTGCCTGCCTATTTAGAGTGGCTTTTCTGTAACACAACCTCACTGGGGAAAATTTCTAATTCCATGGAGCCCACAGGTCTATCAAATGTTTGCTTTAGCAGATTTTTTTTTTCCCTGCAGAAGGGAAGCCCATATAGCTCTACAACAAAAATGGGCCTTGTCCTGAAGAGTTACCACAAAGTGTTTCCACGATGTAAATTCTAATGGACAACCACCAAGAAAATAAGAATACAAAAAATGAGAACTTTAGTTTCTCTTTTTCTTCTAAGGTCATCTCATCTTAAAACACTTGTTTCTTAGGTACCCCAGACCATTGTTTAGCTCAGTCTGTTTGGACACATGTAGTAGATGCTTAAATAGTAGAAGGCTATCATTGAAAGCAGCCAATTTTTTTAAGCCAATAGACCTATTCTTTTAAACTTTCAAGACAGGAAATTTCACTTAATTCCAAGGCTCAGATTCAGAATATTAGATCCATCCACACAAGAGTAAGCATAGTATAGAAACCTGCAATCATGCCTTTTCCATATAAAGATGGGACTCTGAAAAAATGCATTATGAACTCTTCAGAAATAGTTGTATGAGAATATTAGAGGTCCTGTTATTTGGAGGACTCATTATAGGATGAAAGTTCAAGTACCAGAGGGAGTCATTTTCATATGAATGTTGGTTATTGCCAGTCACATACAAGAGGCAATCATCTACATAGAAAAATCTAGTCACATCAGGCAAGTAAGGGAGCTGTGACTGACAAGGTATAGAGAAGGCTGTTCAGATAAGAGGCAGACATTACTGGCCCCTTTTTCAAAGAGAACTCTGAAGATTTTGTTAGGCTTTCTTCCTTGACCTGTCACATGTAACAATACAATTGTAAATGAATGGTGTTCAGTGCCACATCACTGCCATTTACAGAGCAGCTGCCAATGGCTGCCCAAGATGGGAAATTAGCATTAAAGAAGGACTCAATAAGAATATCTCAAATGAGGTACAGCATCTAACACAACCACACACATACACATCCAAAAAAAGCTTTTGTCTTAAATAAAAAAAAATCACTGAAAACGGAAGGAATAATTCCTTCTTACTTCTTGCTAAGCCTTTCTGAAATCTTGAAATCTCCCCCTTCTCCAAAGAGTGCCCGGGTCTCCACAGTAAAAATATGCAAACAAACCGTGAATTTCCAGTTGCACAGTACAGATTAAGTGAAGCAGGTGGAAGATGCAACACAAATTTACCCCTTTTATTCTAAAAACTCAGAGTAAGGAACAAAATAGGGAAACTACCACAGGAACAGGAGTACTAGGGCAGGATTTAAGAGGTCGGAATCTAGTCTAATGTCCACAACAAGCAGTAAGTCTCTTAATCTGAATGTCTCCACTAAACTCCTCATCTGCACAGAAAAAAAAAAAAAAAACATCTGAATCAGCAGGTATGAACTACACTCCTCAAATCTCAGGATTTTCCCTAGATGAACCTTTGGGCTAGCCACAGCAACAAAGGAATAAAGGCAAAGGGTTTAGGAGCCAATGCTTCTACCAGCCTAAAAAATCCAGAGTTGATCTGTTTTCTGCACTGGGCTCTTTAGTTTTTTAAGAGTCATAGCTGAAATGACTAAAAAGCATTAGAGAAATGCATCTTACTTTTTTCTTAATCTTCCTAGTAACAGTTTCTATATGCCTCTTTAGAAAATTTATTAAAATTAAGTATTATTGTTGCTTAGTATTATTCAACTCTTAGTTTACTAAGAAGACAAGAAAAACAGAAACTGCTATAACATGAATCCCCAAATTACACAGCTCAGTAGATGACATTTCAAGCCCAGAAATGTCCTTCTGTCTTTAAAGTTAAAAAATACACTTAATGATAAAAAACTGTATTTAATTATTACTATAATTCTTATTCATGGAACATTAATTAAGCTCTTTGTTTTAATTCTCTAAGAGTAAACACTTACCCTGGTGTGAGGAAATGAATAGCTACAAGTTCTGCCCAACAAGCAAATCTATTGGGTACAAGAAAGCCCAAAATGTTGACAAAGCCTCCAGGGCAATAATGGTTGTTAAGAACTTTCAAGGCAAACAAAACTCCTAAAAGAGAATAAAGAACACATAAATATCAACAATCCAAATGTGGAGAGAATCAGCACTTAAAAAGAAAACTAATTAAATGTTACTCAGCTTTTTACTTTGAAAATTATTCCTTATAACCCAGAATTTGTTAAAAAGACAATGTTTAGGGCAATCATCTCTTTGATGCTTCTTAATATGGAAGCTCATTTTGACAGAAATATGAAAATGAGACACCAGCAATAGTATTAAATACCACTGAACTCCACACCTTAAAACAATTGCCTTTATGTATGCTATATGAATTTTAACTCAATAAAAAATTGCCAGTGATACATATTTTTCTGATATCCATGGAAAGAAACTGAAGGGAAGGCATATTTCCTTGCTTCCGTAGTTCCATGTCTAAGAGTGCAGGTTTGTAGGAAAGCAGGAAAATTGTAGAAAATAGACAAATTTGATTTCCTTGTTTCAGGATTTTGTTTCCTTTTTCATCTTTACATTCTATTATTTAGAACAGCTAATTTGATTTGTGGTAGCAATTTCAGTTCCATGTAATATTGGTAAAACCAGAACAACTAAAGAGGAGATATGAGAGGCAATGCATAGCATAGCTGAAGCAGGCAGAATGGACTCTAATCTCTGCTTGACTAATTACTAGCTGTGTAATCTTGAACTAGTCACCTCAACTCACTAGATTTTACTTCCTTGTCTATAATACCAAGATGATGCCCCTTCACTGTGGATCTGTTGTATGAATTAAATTCAATGAGCTTATGTAAGATAATTACAATGGCACCTAATATTTGTTATGCATGCCATGGGAGGGCATGAAATAGTCACTTAAATGAGAAAATCAAGAGACAGGCAGGATGGTGTTTCAGGTAGCTTACCTTAGATCAGTTGTGTCCTCCTTCTTACTGGCTTCTTACTGGTCAGGGCAAGCTGACCAGATCAGCCCAGACTCTGTTTTAGTCCCTCCTAGAACAGGATATCCTTCAAAGCTTTGCTCAGTAATGTGACTTTTTTGGGGGGAGAAGGATGGGGGAGACTCCTCATCTGTACTGCAAGTGGGGCACACCTAACTGAGACTACATTTGCCTATGAAACCTTTCTGAGCTATATGGACCAGCTTCTGTTGTTACTTGCTGCCTATCTGTAAGTAATCAATTTGTATCATGTAACTCATTGCATGTGAGTGTGTTCTGTACCTCATGTGTCTTAGACAAGTTGGTAGCATATTCACCTTTTTTCTAGAGCTCCCTGTCACAAATACCCTTATGTGTCCCTCTGAAGCCCTACCGTGATGGGATTAGTGAATGCTTCTAATACTACATCTTCCATAAAACCACCTTCTGGTGCATTCTGGTCCAGAATGTCCAAAAGTAAACAATGCAGCAAAATGTGCAACAGCAGAAGTGATGGCTTCCTTGTGCTCCAGTCAGTATGTTATTCAATTGCAGGCCCCAGAAGCCCTTAGCCACTCAGGATTCAGTCCTCATACTAACTGGGGAATCACAGAGTCACACCCTCAACTCATGCATACTCATTCAGATATTTGTTTTTCTTACCTGAGAAACCTACAGCACAGTTCCTCTGAAAGTCCGGCTCATTCATAAATTCGGCACAAGCAAATTGCAAAAGCAGATACACCACTCCAGTGAGTAGGGAGAATGTGATGATAATGTACGCAAACCATCTACTTCCCAGTCTTCTCTCCAGATTTATTCCTTTCCAGAGCATGGATGCCATATTAAAATACAAATGCCAATCATCGGCATGGTGAAGAGGAGAAAGTAATAGACGATGCCAGTCTTTCTGATGATAACACTTTTCTACACTAAGGCAGGAGTTAAGCAATGGTTTTAGAGGATTCAAGAACAACCAGACATTGAGAGCCAAGGTTGCTAGTGTCACAGGTGGAATATTGTTAATCCCAACATGGAAGATTTGAGAAAGGAGCAGAATCAGCCCCGTATTAATGCCTCTTGATCTCCGCTGCATGGTTAGATATCAGGAAGAGCCCAGTGGTCAGGTTTGAGGAATCCTGGAAGATGTACCAACAGCTGAACCTAAAATACACAATATATGTGAATTTTTGTTAATAATTAGCACATTTGACAAAACATTCAATTAAATAGGAACACACATTAGATACATCTTAATTCCCATTCTAACAGAACTATTTATTTTCAATGTCTTATCTTCAGTGTCAGAGTAACATTCAAATTGCTAGCTGACTTTTTTTTTTATCATTTTATATTCTAAAATAGAAATTTTATCCCAAGTCCCAATGGACCAGCTAACGGACAGGTATGCTTTCTCTGACAAATATGTCATGAACTTATGACTTGTCTTCTTATTAAAAACTTTTATAACCTGATGGAAAAGCTACAGAAACTATATGCAAATATCAGGTCACTTTCACAAAAATCCTGGCTAGGCTTCTTTACCAATTCCATTCAAAATGCTGACAACTGAGTTTTAAGATGCTACTAGCTACATTCTACCCCTAATTTTATACTGTCCAGTATCAACTTCCTAAATGCTTCATTTTCATGAAAACATCACCTTTTAAAAAGTACTACTGTGGGGCTGGGAACGTGGCTCAGTGGTAGAGTGCTTGCCTAGCATGCATGAGGCCCTGGGTTCGATTCCTCAGTACCACATAAGCTGGAAGTGGTGCGGTGGCTCAAGTGGTAGAGTGCTAGCCTTGAGCAAAATAAGCTCAGGGACAGTAGTACCCCGGCATGGAGTTCAAGTCCAGGATTGGCAAAAAATAAAAATAAAAAAAGTACTACTGTGTGCCAAATCCTGGGTTGGAACACAGTTCTTGTTTTTAAGGAGCTAATTTCCTAGTAGGAAGTAGACTGCCAACTTCACGTAGTGGTCTAAACACAGTAAGAGAAGGAACCCAGAGCACACAATTGTGCCCCCAGTGGTGGCAGGACTATAGTCTGACAGCATGAACTGCAGTTACTGACAAGAGTCCCTCACGTCAAACTCCTATTCCCCAGTCCCTAGATAAAGGCTGGTATTGTAACATGCTTTGGATGATAAAAAGCAGAGGAAGGAATACCCTGTGAGTTCCAGGCCTAGACTTCAAGATGCTTTGCAGTCTTCTCTTTCTTGAAGTCTCAGAAGCTGTCCACTGACCAACTAATGTCCCAGAAGCAAAGCTGTACAAACTGACCACAAATGCATAGACTAAGTCCAGCTGAGTCCAACTTTATTTGTTGACTCACAGAACAGTGAGCTAAATAAATACTCCATTTACTTCATCAAGTTTTGGAGTAGTTCGTTATGCAAAAATTATTAATATAGATGGTATTTACTTTGGAAAGTGCCTGGTTTATGCCCATAAGAAGTTATTAACAGATGAGAGATACAAATAAGGATGCAAGAGGCAGAAAAAAGAAAAGAATCAGGTGGTTGGCAAGAAGAAAAGGGCAAGTCCTTTTAACAGGAAGAAAAACAATCACAGTCAGATGTAGATAAGGTTAAATAGCAGACTGGAGGATGGGATGTTGAAAAAGTTTTCATTTAGTGGTTCATGTTTCCTTATGGAGGTTTTGTAACCTAGCTCCTGACCCTAGATAACTCACTCTGACACCAAAAGGATTGTCACTCAGCACACTAGATGACATATGGGCCTTGGAGTGAAAATGAACTTGCTTTTCCTACATACTACTTCTGTGGCCAAAGGCATCACTTAACTTTACAGAACCTCAATTTCTTTCTTTTTAAAAATTCTCTTTAAGTAGTTGTACAAAGAGGTCTCAAGTCAACATGTCACTTTGTGAGCACAATGAATTGTGATCAGTAGCACCCCTTTCATATTCTCCTCCATCTCTCTCCATCCCATCCGTCCCCTCAATTTTTCTAGTTTCATTTTTACATATATGCATTGAATATTATTCCCTATAAATTAGGAGTAACACTTTCACCCAAGGTTTACCAAACTATGCCCTGAATAACTAAAGTGTTAAATAATGGTAGTTGTTTTGTTCACCTCTATAAACATGATATGTCTTTTGGGAAAATGAGTTCCTTTAATAAATGTCAACTGTCCTTTCTTTCTCCTCATATGGATTCTTACTATTAGTATCATACCCAATGCAATGATAAGTAGTTCCTGCATGCATGTATACATGTGTATATGCATACAACTATATATGTGTACATACAACTCATGTGTACATTTTAAACTTCAACTGAAAAGCTACCAAGTCACTGGAGAAATGGCTGTATTTTCACATTATAACTCAAGTTGACTTAATTCTCTAATCACTATGACTTTTGCTATTTAGGTAAAAACGCGCGCGCGTGCGTGCATGCGTGCGTGTGTGCGTGCGTGTGTGTGTGTGTGTGTGTGTGGTATACACATAAAATGTGTGAATATATACGACATTATTACTTCTAATAGAAATAGAAAAGAAATGCCTTAATCATTGATCAGTAAGCAATTTAAAAGAAATCACAAAATAAACTCTTATAAGTGCAAACAGATTCCTTTGGATGCTGGGCTATTTTTTTTTAAATAATCAAAAATCAAACGGAAATATCTCTTTGTTGAAACAAAGGCTTCCCTGGATGAGGAAGAACGTAAATGAAGGAGGGAACTTCCACTCTTCCTTCACACTGGGCACTGAGGGACACATGACACTTTGATCACTTCTGGACAGACCCTAAGATCTCTTTACTCTTGTCACCTGGCAGCTCTGTCCACACTCTCAAGGGCTGGCTGCTTCTGCTCCAGGGTCCACCTTGCTCCCCAAGACTTGACCCTCCTTTCCAACCCCCTTTCTTCTGCTGTTCACTTTCCTGCTTGCCTTATTCCCTCCCTCATGGGCTTTCACTATCAGAGTTTCTATAATTTTTTTCATATGATTTCCAAATTTACATTCTTCAGCCTTGATTTCTCAGCAAGTTTCTGGGACATAATCTTCTATAGAGAAGATAGCCTGCCTGCTGTCTTAATTTCTGAAAGCAAAATTATCCTTTCATTCAGAATGATGATTCAGCCGCCCCTTCATTCACTCATCTATGTATAAATATTTATGAAGTGCCAAATGCATGCCAGTCCATGTATCAGGTACTGGAGGTACAGTAAAGAAAAAAAGATTAACAAGCTCAGAACCTAAATGGCCACTTCTCTTTACTGAAGGACATACAAAATACTTGCTGCAGTAAATAAAAGTATGCAGTAAATAAAAATTATGTGGCTTGAATCATCACTGAATACATACTTAATGCAAAGGCAGATATGACCCTGGCCAAAGTGAGAAAAGTGTACCTTATGGAATTCACTTTCACAAAGGCAATGAGAGTGCCAGAGGAGGTAGAGTCTAAGGTTTAAACTGTACAAAGCAAAGATATATCAACTCTATTTTATAACAAGTCTACAAGATAATTCCTTTCTTGATAAACTATCAAGTTACCAAGATAAAGGACGCAGAATGACACAGAATAACTCTCCCACTGGTCAGCTGGAACATCAAATCTGTAGCTTAACCTTATAACCCAGGCAGGCAAAGTCCTAGGATATGGAACACAAAAAATATACATTGTCTTTTGTTCAAGTCCTACCCATCAAACACACAGAAATGTTTAGAGTGTTACGCTGAGTAAGATGTCACAGAGGTATGACTAATTATGATTATTATAATCATTATTAAATGATAATGATTAATTATAGAAGCTTATCTAATAAATGAAATCCTGTCCAATCTATTTGGTTTTAGAAGTGGTTTATGCACTCTAGCTTGAACCCAGACGGCAACTTCATAAACAAGTTATTAGAACCTAAGGAAGAGTAGGCTCATTCCTACCACTCTCTTACTTCCTAAATATATGCCCTTCCCACTTCACTGTGCCTCAGACTGCTCACTGAGCTCATTCTAAATCTGTTCATCCCCTCATTTTTCCCATCTCTGGACTTACAATACCTATCTAGTCCTTTACTTCAACAATGCAGAAATTGTCCTTGTGTGCCATTTGCCCCCATCTCCCTGCTACCATACATCCTGTCAAGTTTTGTTCGTTTTCTGGACCACAGTAAATCCTCCTGTAGCCACAGAATGGAACATTCCAGCCATGCTCTGGAGAGGAAATCTAGGACTGTGTTTACTATCCTTTGGCCAGTTACTGGTTTTGTGGAAACTGTTGGTGACAATTCTGTCAAATTTTGGAGTCTATGTTTGGACATGTAGTTCAGACTAGTTCCACCACTCACTCTCATTTATGGGCTACATGTACATTCCTATCCAAAACATCAAGTCTTTTTGGAATAAACACATTGGAAGGCCATGGGAGTTCATCACATTAAGTTGGACTCATTTGGTCTATTCATATAGCACAATCTGTTTGGGGAAAAAAATGATGTTAATTCCCTTTCATTGCATATGCCAGAACAATTTCCAGTTAACAAACATAATGTGTTCTTTTACTGCTTGCATCATAATCGTTTCCTTTTAACTGATATGATGTTTTGACTTTTGGTTTTGGTGTATGTTAATACAAATATAAAGGGACAAATTCTTCAACCAAATACATCCTGGAGACAAATTGCTATGGATCCATTTCTTCCAATTTTTATCAATCTACTTCTTTTTAGCTCCATGATTGGTATGCTATTCTAAACCACCAACAAACTTACATGATTATAATCAACAGTCTCTAACTGGATCATTTTCCACCAATGGTTAGAGTACTTGTGAAATAAAACTGAAGCTAAATTCTTCATAAGCCTCCAATTGCTGAGAACAGAGGACAGTTCCTTGTGTACCCCACCCCCATCTCATGTCACCAGACACTATGCTCCAGCCATGCTATATGACAGTTACCCAGGGCCACCAAGCCATTACCATGAATATGCTGGGGCTGGCATAGAATCTGGCCTTAGAGTATTTCCAAGATGACACAGATTAGTATTTGTTAGTATATCCACAATAAACAAATGAGACTCTCATTCACTACAAATCTATGTGTTAAAATACTTATATGTTTAAGTATTTTTTCCTGTACCTGTAACAATCTTTCACATGGCACTATATATTTTATTCTACTTGTG